CCCTTGTTGGAGTTTGTGTTCATTTTATATTATGAAGAACGTAATAGGAGGTACTGGACCTCATAAAGTAGGGTGGGCACTAGTATGGGGTGAGCACCTCGAGGGGCATGGACTGATGTGAATTTACAGTATATAAACCACTTCGTAAATTGTCGGTGCTGCATAAATGCCTGTAATAATGTAAATTATTACTTTTGGGTGGACTGACCATTTTAGAATATCGGTTTCAGAGCTGTTGAGGAGTCAGCATAGGTGACACGTAGAGCTACTGTATATGTTGTCATGCCCATGTGAGCTCCCCAGCAGCTGCTTTCTACCTGTCCTTTCATTTTCTATTTCTAGACTGGTAAGTCGTAACTGACTTATGTGGTGACACATTGTAAACGCGTGTCCTACTCCTTTGGGAACATTTAAAGGTACTAAAGTGTTGTCACTATAGACTTTGTGACACCGAAATGTCACATGGATCGAATGTCAAGGCAGCACAGAAATAGCCATGCGAAGCAACGTCAGCCCAGGGCAGCAGATGGGAAGAATGGCTGAGGGTCCAGGCTGCCTGTAGGATATATCTGTGATATTTCTTCCCCTTCTGTTATCTCCACGGGGTAATTATGCTATAAAGCTCTAGAAGCCTTGATGACAAAATGTGAATCTTCACACCCTGCAGAGAGCTGACGTAAAACTGATTCATTTGCCCATTTCACCTGTCCAATACATTCTGCACAGACCAGCTATAGAGTGGACGCTATTTTTAAATATGCCATGACAAGTTTTCATGTGATTAGGTTCTGCAGTTTATTTTACAAGGAAATTAGACTGTACCTTCAACAAGTACAACATTTAAAACCCCTGGGGGGCTGAACCCCAGTTGATGCAGAGAAGATTGCTCATATATCATTCTCTTGTGAGTCTGGGCCAGCATAAGGACATGGGGGTGTGTCCATGACACCCTGGACTCACAGTAAGTGGTTTGAAAGTAGCTGGCTGTCATGCAGGGCAAAAGTAGAGCAGTACAAAACCTCATAGAGGAGCTTCTATAGGGGTCAGCAGAGCTATTTTTGTGTTTATGAAAGCTGGCCAATATATTTTTTAATCAAAGCTGGGGTTCTGCTTTAAATTACTGTAAAACAAAAGTAATGGGGTTTCTACATTTTACTTTGCACGTTCACATTTTAATTACTGTATTCCATGCAAAGATTAATGAATGCTCCCTCTAGTGGAAATTTGTAAATCAGGGCTATAATTATCATCCTTTGCTGAATGGCTCTCAAGACAAGCACAGTTTTTGGTAATTCCCAAAGGGTTAGAACCTCTGCCAGGTTTTTATTGCTGTGTCTCCACGGGAGAGTATTTTCCCTCACTTCCTGCCCTTAGAGATGTAACAGGAAGCAGGTCAAACGCTCCCTAAAATCCCAGCCTTTACAGATATCACTGGTCCAGAGTCCCTTTTGAAAGATATCCCTGTTACCCTATTTACAATTTTGTACATAGGTCCCCAAAATGGAAAGTGAAAGTAGATCTCCCCATGGGGCATACAGACTATCCACCAGATTCAGAGTCAGTGATTCTTTAGTTTAGATCAGTCTCCAAACTGTGGCCCAAGGGCTGGATGTGGCCCTTTGCTTGCTTTTATCTGGCCCTTGGGGCATTGTTTTATCCACCAATGGGGCATAATTCCCTCCACTGACACCAATGGGGGAGCACCAATCCTCCCAATGACATCAATTATGGGGCACAATTCCTCACAATGACACCAACAATCAGGCCCAATGACACCAATGATGGGCAGCACAATTCCTCCCAATGACACAACCAACGATGGGGTGCCATTGCTCCCACTAAAACCAAAGAATGGGCATGGTTTATTCCCACTGACATCAGGACCTTTTCCACTCCCAATGACCGCAGTCCAACCCCCCTAAAGTCTGAAGGCCAGCAAACTGGCCCTTTGTTTAGAAAGATTGGAGACCCCTGGTTTAGATGATACTTTGATGACAAGAAGACTAACTGTAGCCAACGTATTTTGGGGTAAATTGGACTCTATTAGGCCTCTTGAACTCTGCAACTGAAAAAAGCTCAGTACAGAGGTTTTTTTTTTTACTGATCTAAAGTGCGGTCTGTTGTTTTCAATGTGCCTGTACACACAGGTGGGTAAACAGGTGCTGCGTATTATTGAGTAAAAAAAACAAAATCCGCTTTCCTGGTCAGTATTTTGTGGCAGTACGTGCATATGAGCGCTAATATGTGCATATGAGCATAAGTATTCATGGATTTTGCATAGGAATGTAGTGTGCGTGTGAATGCACATACACACAAATACATACAAAACAAATGCTGATGCATCAATACTGTGTGCAAGAGACCTTATAGGAGCCACTGAAGGAAAACATCTGTCAAGTAGAAATGGAGTTGTCTCAATTGTTTAAGTCCTGATGAAGGGGTGATTTTTTTTTTTTTTGTCCTCTGTGTTATCAAAGTATCATCGGCAATAAAGAATTATGGACTTTTAGTATGAACATTTGGCATTCTGTTTGGTTTTTTCAATTTGGATAGCCCCTGGCTTTTGAGTGACCCCCCCCCCTCTTCTGAAGCTGCCTAGGTCATTTCCAACAAGTCTCCCTGACACTTAAGAGTACAGCTCCTTACTTTTACTTTTTCTTAGTCTGTCTTTTATTTTTTTGAGTCGCTAACTTGGAGCAAGCATGCAGCAAGTGAAGTCAAAGCTCTTATTCTAAATGCCTTATCTACAGGACAGGGGCGGACTGACAACTCATGGGGCCCCCGGGCAATAGGGGATCATGGGGCCCCTGTGTTCTTGCCCAAACTCAAAAAAGCCTATGAAAAAGGTACCAGGGGAATCTCATGGGGCCCCCTACTGACCCCGGGCCCTCGGCAGTGCCCGACTTTCCAAATGGTCAGTCTGCCCCTGCTACAGGAGTGACCCAAAAGAACAAAGAGCCCATTGGGTTTACTACTGATTTCAGAAGTAGGTCAGCAGCAGCAGTAGACTGTTATTTTAGTAACCTGTATATAAAAGGCAGGCATGTGCTTCTTTGGGGTTTAAGGGTTTCACACGGGTGTGTCCGTTTTTCATCAGTCCGTTTACAGATGACAAAAGGACCCCCATGTATGTCTATGGACTAGCAGATGTAAATAGATGATCATCTGTTTACATCAGTTAGTGTTTGTATCAGTTGACATCCGTTTTTTTGAATGGAAGAAATTCTAGTTTTCTTCTGAAAAAAAAAACAGAACGGACGAAAAAAAAAAACTGAATGTAAACGGACATACGGTCTGTTTTTTTTTTGTAAAGGATGTAAAAAAAACAAACAGATGTAAACTGATGAAAAATGCATATAGACTGATCTGTTATTTCTTGGACAAAACGTGACTGAACTGATGAAAAAAACGGAACGCCGTGTGAAAGGACCCTTAACCACTTGCCAACCGCGCTATAGCTGAATGACGGATACAGTGTGTTTGTCCAGTTCTGGGAGGGCGTCATATGATGTCTTCCCAGAACTCGCCCTCCCGCGCGCCTCCTACAGACAAAGCTGATCACGAGATGTGGTAAAAGGCCAATCACAGCGGCCTTTTACGACATGATCAGCTTTGTCCAATGACCAGTAAATGCAGTTGCTGGTTATCGTTGTCACAGCGTGAGAAAAATACTGCCGATAACCAGCAATTGTCAGAGGACGGATTGGCACTGATCATCGGGGCACTGATGATCAGTACCCCAATGATCAGTGCCACCCACCAGTGCCGCCCACCTCTGCCTAGCAGTGCCACCCACAAGTGCCCATCAGTGCCATTCACCTGTGCCCATCAGTGTCACCCACCTGTGCCCATCAGTGCCTAGTAGTTCCACCCACCTGTGCCCAGCATTGCCGCCCACCATTGCCAACACCCCAGCAGTGCCACCCATCCTGGCTGCCCAGCAGTGCCACCCGTCAGTGCTGCCCAGCAGTGCCACCCATCAGTGTCCAGCAGTGCCACCCATCAGTGTCATCAGTCAATGCCACCCATCAGTGTCTATCAGTGCCACCTATCAGTGCCCATCAGTGCCGCCTATCAGTGCCCATCATTGTTGCATATCAGTGCAGCATCATCAGTGCTGCCTATCTGTGCCAGCTCATCAGTGCTGCCTATCAGTGCCCATCAGTGCTGCCTATCAGTGCCCATCAGTGCTGCCTATCAGTGCAGCCTCATCAACGCACATCAGTGAAGGAGAAAAGTTACCTGTTTGCAAAATTTTATAATAGAAACATTTTTTTTTTTTCAAATTTTTTGCTTTTTTTTTTCATTTATAGCGCAAAACATAAAACACCCAGCGGCAAGTACATACCACCAAAAGAAAGCTCTCTTTGTGTGAAAAAAATTATAAACATTTCATATGAGTACAGTGTTGCATGACCGCGCAATTGTCATTCAAAGTGTGACAGTGCTGAAAGCTGAAATTTGGCTTGGGCACAAAGGGGGTATAAGAGCCCTGTAGGCAAGTGGTTAAAGGATAAGTTCACTTATCTCAACATGTTACACCTGTAGTTAGGGTGTAACATGTTGAGCATCCACCACCGTAACCCCCAATCTGCCCCTCCTTGTGGCAACAGGTCAGGGATTTTCTCCCAGCACCCGATGTCACAATTTGAAAACAGCACGGCCATGCAGGGCTCTGTACACATGGCTGCATCATTCATTCACAGAGTTCTGTCAATGACTAGACTACAAGTACCATCCGCCATTGTGGCTGACAGCTGGTAGTTCTCAGTGAACTGTGAGGGCACTAGTGAATTCTCTCGTAGTTCATTGTGTTTCCTAGACTTCAGTAACTGCCTGCCCATGCCCAGGGGCGGACTGACAACTCATGGGGCCCCCGGGCAATAGGGGATTATGGGGTCCCTGTGTCCTTGGCCAAACTCAAAAAAGCCTATGAAAAGGGTACCAGGGGCATCTTATTGGGCCCCCTCCTGACCCCGGGCCCTCGGGCAGTGCCCGAGTTTCCAAATGGTCAGTCCACCCCGTGCCTGCCCATATGGGAGGTACAGGCAGACAGTATACTGACAGTCTGCAAGAGCCTGACATTACACCCACGAACTGCTGATCATGGGCGCAATGCTCTACAGCACAGGTGTCAAACTGGCGGGTCCTCCACTTGTTGCCAAACTACAAGGAAATCCCATGAGGCACTGCAAGATTGACAGTTACAAATATGACTCCTAAAGGTAGAGGGCATGATGGGACTTGTAGTTTTTTGCTCAACAGCTGGAACACCGCCAGTTTGACACCCCTGCCCTACAGGCTCTCAAAATAAATAAATAAATAAATAATTGCTTGCAAAAATATGTTTTTTTTGTAATTTTTTTTTTAAAGGTGAACCTATCTTTTATAGTAAACCCGGCACAAATCTGAGCAATTTAATCTGAAGAGATTAGGAAAATGTCAGCTTCAGGGAAAAATTTTAATTTCAGTTAAAAAAGTTAAAAATTATCTGCAGGTCCAAAGAGATAGGCAGCTGGAGTTATGTTCAGATTTTGCCTTTTCCCATTAAAGTCCAGTTTAGACCTCCCTTCTACACCTATTGGTCCTTGAATGTGGTGGGCAGGTTTCCTGACCAATAAAAAGGCTCGGAGGTGGGCAAGGCCAGGCCAAACTAGCCATTTACAGATAAAGTCAAGATCTGAACACAAGGTCAGCTGCTCATATTTTTAGATCTACTGATCATGTTGTCATGCCATTTTTACTAACAACAACCCCTGCTTAAAGTGGTATTTAACCCAAAGCATGCATTTATTATATTGGTGTTTTCCATTTTAGAAGTGATCAGGGTGTATTTACACGAGGCGTTTGCCTTGGTCGGCATTTTTCAGGGGGGCGGCAGATTTGTTTGTGCTGCCTAGGGCAGTACAACACCTAAATACACAACTGGATGTGATGGCTGCATTTGCGGTTTACTTTTTTTCTTTTTGCTCCTGGTGATCCTTGCCAGTAAGTCTGGTGATTTTCAACAGAACAAGGTGCCCTGCAGATGTAGCAGTTACAGGGATGAGACAAACCATTTACTGACAGGGATGCTTACAGTGATCAGCTTTTACTTGTGTAAAAACTGTGTCCCAAAAGGAAAAAAATAACTGTTTGCTGTAACTGCTTATAAAGTGTGAGCTGGATTTTGGTTTCGATTTTTAATGTATCTAAATATGCTAGTAGATCTAACACTCCCCTCCCCCAGACTGACAATGCTGCTGTCCAAAGGTGTCCCCTGTGCTCCTTCGTCCAGAGTGGGGGCACTCTAAGAGTCCTTTTACACGAGTTTGTTTAGTGGATCAGCAGGGGATTTGCTCCCCAGAGCAAGGGATGACAGCTCTCTGCTGCTCAGGGGCGGACTGACAACTCATGCCCCCGGGCAATAGGGGATCATGCAAACTCAAAAAAGCGTGATGGAACAGGGGCATCTCATGGGGTCCCCTACTGTCTGCTCAAATGGTCAGTCCGCCCCTGCTCCGCTGCTGAGAACGGACACAGAGCAGCTCGCTCTCCTCAATGGGCGGTTGGATGAAAATGGATCCAACCCGATCCGATGGACGGAAGGGGAATTGGATCCTCATCTATCCCTTTCTGGCGGATCACATGTCGGCGGGTGTAAATGAACATGTGTCCGTTTATACCAGCCACTACATAGAGGAGAATAGAGGTTCCGAGTCGGGTCCCCCTGAAAAATGGGCAGGACCTGATCGAAATGTCCATGTGAAAGGGGCCTTTGGCAAGCCAGGTGGTTCCCATCTGATTGGGTGCAGGTGCTGTTTGGACGAGATTTTTCCACTCGACTCCTCAACAAACTTCGATTGAAAAGTTTACTTTTGGCAAGGCGGGTGATGCCAACAGGGCTGAAAAACGGGCATGCAGACCCAATCGGAAAGTCTGTGTGAAAAATCCCTTAGGCTAGGTTCACACCTATACAGTTTGCGTTTGATCCGTTTCTGCAGTGCATTTTGTGTTTTTGCACATGCGTTTTTGATGCGTTTTGCGTTTATTTATTTATTTTTTTTTCTTGTTTATAGGCAGATTTAAAATTCAAAATACGGCAAAAACGCACTACATGCTTTTCTGCAGCATTTCCATTGAAGTCTATAGGACCAAAAACACAACGTTTTGCGTTTACAAAAAACATTTCCAAAAAACGCACTGGTGAAAACACAGAGATGTGAACACGTCCCATAAGAAATCATGCTAAATAACTGCACTGCGTTTCTGCCAAACGCTGCGGAAAACGCTTAGGTGTGAACCTAGGGCAATACAGGAGGTGTGTGTACTGGCCAGATCACCGGATGAAATCAGAGGGGAAAAAAGCCTAAAAAAAAAAAAAAAACTAAAAGCGCGACATGTAATGATTGGTAAGTTGCAATATAATATGTTTTTAGTTTGGGGATTAATACTGCTTGCCCTGTTAAAATATTCTTGCAGCTCTTCAAAGCACTGACACCCCTTATGATTATGTGCGTTGGCACGAAACGCGTCAGAAGGAGCTGTAACGTTGTGAAGTCATGCCGCCGGAGCCTTGAGTAGGTCCGGCGGCCATCTTGGATTCCCTCATGGTCAATTTTTCTCTGTATTGTCATTTACCTAATGGAAGGAATTAATGCATTTTTGAAGCAGTATCACGCTATTGGCATCCTTTCTTTGGGCCCTTTGTGAGCTTACCAACCAACAGAGCTTTATAAGGAGGACGGCAGAGGTACTGAGGATGACCCAAAGAGGGGGACTCCAGACCAGGCTGTATCTGCAACCCCTCTCTGCCAATCCCTCCACTGGCTCCCAGTTGCCTATCGGATAAAATTCCAAACACTAACTATGACATATAAAGCCATCCACAACACTGCCCCAATTTACATAATCGATCTTGTCTCTAAATATCACCCAAACCGTACAATCCGCTCCTCGCAAGACCTCCTACTCTCTAGCTCCCTTGTCTCCTCCTCCCCATGCTCATCTCCAAGACTTCTCCAGAGCTTCCCCCATCCTCTGGAACTCTCTACCCCAATCTATCAGACTATCGCCTACTCTACTTACTTTTAGGCGATCACTAAAAACCTATCTCTTCAGGGAAGCCTATCCCGCCCTCTGCTAATACTGGACTCCTTTACTCTTCCAAACGCCATCCCCCACAGTTATTACCTATTGTACCATTCACCCCTCCCTCCTAGATTGTAAGCTCCAAGGAGCAGGGCTCTCAAATCCCTCTTGTATTGAACTGTATTGTTACTGTATTGTGTCCCACTATAATGTAAAGCGCTGAGCAAACCGTTGGCACTATGTAAATCCTGTATTATAATAATATAATAATAATAATAATAATAATAATAAATGCGTGATTTAATTGCGCATCTGGTGAGTGCGTAATTCTACTACTTACCTGGCACATCACCGTACCATTGAATATAGGGTGTGGATCACCAACTCTGAGATCATAATATTGGATCTCTTACTTATCACTTTGTGGACATTTTTAGTATTTATTGCAATTGTCACTTTAAAAATCACCATTAGTCACTTTTCAGTGACAATATACAGTGTTATCACATTCACTCTGCCACTTTATGGACATATCGGTGTTATTGCTACATGGTCACTTTATGTACACTAACAGTCACTTTGATTGTCAGAGATTTTGTTCATATTTTTTTGCTTCATACCTGCTTAACTGCATTGGCACTTTTGGTCTATTTGCACTTTATTAATGTTATATTAGTTAGGTTTTAGTGCTGCACCTATTATATACCACACTGATGTGTTGTTGGACAGATCACAGCAGAAGAGGTCTGTGCAGTGTTTACAGTGTCTGCTGTTTTGCTCAGTTGCGAAAAAGTGACAGTCGTGGAATAATGCTGATTTTCTTGGCCGATATACCTCCCCGCACTTCCTGTGCTAGTCCTCCCAGGATGATTCCTACTTGATTCATTTCCTTTTATATCAGATAAACAAAACAATCCCATTGTGACAGTGAGCTGTTGCCCTTCATTGACATGCAGCACCCTCTGTGTATATTCCCCAGGAACATCCTTTCTGGCGATCTGTGCGTTGTTATGAAACGGACGGCGATTAGGGGCCGGAATAAAACTACACCCATAGACAGATTAAAGGCAAGCCTCATCACAATCGCCCTCCAGTCCCCGTTAAGTCCTCATGCACACAGGACGTCTTGATAATGCTGGTAACATTAGCTGTGTAAAGTCACGTTAAAAACTTGAGGTTTTCAGCTTTTTTAACGTTTTTGCATTGGCGTTTAGTGGTGTTTTTTCCCGAGTTTACATTTTTTTTTACCAAAAAAAATGTTTTCTTTTGCTTAAAAAAAAATCCAAAAACTCTGGTTTGCGGCGTTTTATCGCGTTTTGTCACGTTTTTCAGCGTTAGAGAGTTTTCGCAGCTAAAATACTCTAGAAACCCACTAGTTCTGTTTTTTTTTTTTCCAGCTATAAAAGATAGCTTTGCTGCATTTATGAGCATTTTTGAGACAGCCCTCATGCACAGTTGACACTTTATAACACTGGTAATATTAGCTGTGTAAAGTTAAGTTAAAAACGTGAGGTTTTCAGCTTTGTTAGCGTTTTTGCATTAGCGTTTAGCGGCGTTTTCCCGCATTTAAGTTTTTTTTTGCTCAAAAAAAATCCGAAAACTCCGGTTTGCTGCGTTTTATCTTGTTTTGCCCCGTTTTTCAGCGTTAGAGAGTTTTCACAGCTAAAAAACTCCTCTAGAAACCCACTAGTCCTGTTTTTTTTCCAGCTATAAAACGTAGATATCCTGCATTTATGAGCATTTTTGTGACTGAACCCTCATGCACACTTGACATCTTGATAACGCTGGTGATGCTAGCTGTGTAAAGTCACGTTAAAAACGTGAGGTTTTCAGCTTTTTTTAGCGTTTTTGCATTAGCGTTTTTGCATTAGCGTTTAGTGGCGTTTTCCCGCGTATATGTTTTTTTTTTTTTTACTGAAAAAAAATTTTTTTTGCTCAAAAAAAATCCAAAAACTCCGGTTTGCGGCATTTTATCGCATTTTGCCACGTTTTTCAG